TTTTGGTGCCTCCTGTGAGGTCGTGCACGCGGCCCCTGGTCCGCGAAGTACGAGCCATCTTCCAGATTCTCGCAAGAATAAGGAATTCATATCAGAGGGACGGAAGGACAACTCGTCCAACAACAAGAGAGACATACGAGCATCTGTCATAAAAGGGCGGTGAGTCGTTCAATCCTGTCTTTACACCTTTATCTCCATACTTACGTTATCAACATGCCCGACCGAGCTAAAATACTCGTGCAAAGGCGAACATCGTTGAAATCGCAGATCACTATTCTGACGAATCTCTTCGAGAAAAATAAATTGGATGACGCAACATTAAAATTGCGTATCGCACGTCTAACAGAGCTCTACCATGCGTTTGAGGGGGATAACGATGAGCTCGGGGTCTTAGAGCCGGGCGAAAGTGTTCAGGCCGAGTTTCATAGCTTACAAGAACGTTTTTATGACCTCGCGGGTAAGATCGAGAATCATTTCAATCGCGCGAGCTCTTCCAGTCTAAGCGTCAACGTGTCAAATGACGAGATTCGAGCGAACCACGCGACGACTTCTGTAGCTGATAATCACGCGACGCCTTCTGTAGCCGATAAAAAACGGCGAATTAAGTTGCCTCAAGCTCCATTGCCTACGTTCGACGGCCAATATGACGGTTGGCTTTCCTTTAAAAACGCGTTTTGTAACCTCATAGACACACAATCGGACTTAACGGACGTGGATAAGCTTTACTATTTGAAATCCGCATTGAAAGGCGAGGCCGCTAATAAAATAAAAATCTTCGCGATAGATGGCATAAACTATACGAAAGCTTGGGAGGTCTTAGAACGCGCATATGAGGTGAAACGCATATTGGTCTCGCGTCATTTAGCGGCCATTCTAAATCTGCCGTCACTGGATAGAGAATCCACGGATGGGTTATCTAAACTTGCTGACGATACACAACAGCATGTAGCCTCACTCAATGCGTTGGGCGTCTCCGTCGGGCACGAAATAATCGTTCACATTCTCGAGACTAAATTGCCAAAGAAAACGATCGAGAAATGGGAAGCTTCGCTCGAGAGAGACAAATTCCCCTCTCTCGATACTCTTTACGAATTTTTGTACAAGACCGCAGTCTGTGCATCGAAGCGAGAGCGAGCGAAACAAACAGAAACCGAAACAAAAAAGATCGAGCCTCCGACGAAAAGAAAACGAAACGTGTCTAATCGAGCATTCGTATTAAGCGCGTCGCGGAATTGCAAGGTGTGTGACGTAAAACAACATCCGTTATACATGTGCGATAAATTTAAACAGTTGCCAATTCACAAGCGGATCGAGGCGGTAAAAAGGGCGAAATTGTGTTACAATTGCTTGCGTTCCCATATCGGTACTCCATGCAAATTCTCGAGTTGCACAATTTGCCAAAAACGACATAACACGCTCTTACATTTAGATGGTATCGCGACCGCAGACAAATCCAACGACAAATCACGGCCAGAATCAACTGAAACCAGTTGACTATTTGATGTGACCGGGGGGACTAATGAGAGTCTTGCGTTAATGTGTCCCACATTCACACCGCAACTGTTAGCGAGCGCAATAGTGTACGTTCCCGACGGCAAACGCAAATTCGTAAGATGTCGCGCCCTATTAGACACATGCGCGACGGCAAATTTTATTTCCGATTCCGTCGTTAAACGATTAGGCGTACGTTCGATACCGCAGTCGATTCCGGTCGGCGCGATTAATGCTATGAGTTCGATTTCCCAAGGTACAGTGCAAATCACAATTCACTCGACACAAAATAGCTTTTCCAGGAAACTAACGTGTCTCACATTACCGACTATCGCGGACTTAGTTCCTTCCGAGACATTTCCACGAGACACGATCAAGTTTCCGACAAACGTTAAACTAGCGGATCCGGAATTCCATTTGCCGCGGCCTATAGACATATTAATTGGCGCCGGGACTACATTTTCGTTGTTCTCCGTCGGTCAAATCAATCTGTCTAATGACGGACACGATTTATATTTACAAAAGACCCGATTAGGCTGGGTCATTGCTGGTAGCTCCGCGAAGCAAAATATTATCAAAGAAGCATCATGTTGCTTAACGAGCTTAGAATCACAATTGGCCAAATTTTGGACAATAGAAGAAAGCGTAATTAACAAAATTAAATCAGAAGAGGAGAACAATTGTGAAGCGCATTTCGTTAAGAATGTAACCCGCAATAGCGAAGGACGATACATGGTGCGTTTACCATTCCGTTGTACGGGCGCTCAGACGGGCGATTCGCGAAATATCGCGATCAAACGTTTGCTCGCGCTAGAGCGCAAACTCGAACAAGACACTACGCTGAACTTAGAATACACCCGCGTTATAGAAGAATACAAGACTTTAGGGCACATGTCGCTAGTAACTCATCCGCCTCTCGACGGGTTTTACATGCCTCATCACGCGGTAATAAAACAGGCCAGTAATACAACTAAAGTACGAATTGTGTTCGACGCGTCGGCAAAATCTGCGAACGGCGTATCTGTAAATGATCTCTTGATGGTGGGGCCCACGATTCAAGAAAAATTGTTTTCCCATTTAATAAGATTCCGCACCTACCATTACGTTATTATCGGTGATATAGAGAAAATGTATAGACAGGTGCAGATACACGAGGATGATCGTAGATTTCAACTGATTCTTTGGCGAGAACACGGCGAAATCAGAACCTATCAGTTGAACACGCTTACCTTCGGAGTGTCGTCGTCGCCATTTCTCGCGATCCGCACGTTGCAACAGCTCGCGGATGACGACGGTCATTTACATCCGAAGGCGGCTGAAGTACTTAGGCGTCATCTATATGTCGACGATCTATTGACGGGCGCTAACTCGGTAAAGGAGGTTCGTTATGTCCGGGACGAAATAATCGCACTTCTAGGGCGCGGAGGGTTCTCTATAAGGCAATGGGCCTCGAACGACACACGCATAATCCAAGATTTACCAAACAATACTCTACACGCGAATTATATGCTCGGTGAAGATCAATCTTTAAAAACGCTCGGTATTTCGTGGAACACTCACGCCGTTGCAACTCAC